CAGATGTTTATTTAATTCCTTTCTCTAAACACATATTATTAAACTTTAGAACTTCCGTTGTGCCCTTCACCTCGACATAAGCAAAACAAATTTGTTTTCTTCTGTTATGATTGATTTATTTTTCCGTTATTCCAGTTTGCTTCTCTTGAGTTGCATGTGAAGTACAGAATGTTTGCAGGATGTACAATCCAGCCATTTGGCTTTCGTCCATTTCTCTGGGACTACACTGGTTGCAACATTAATTAAATCATGCAGAGGGGTTTAGAGCAAAATTATTAACTGAGGTTTGACCAGAGAAAGACGAGTGAATGGAAATATCAAAGACAGAGGGGCTGGGAGTGTAACTGCAGAGTATAGCACTTGCCTAGCATGTGAGAGGCCCTGGATTCTGYCCCCAGCGTCACACACGTGCACACATACAATTCTTATTACTGAGGCAGAGACGGCTGGGAAGTAAAGAAGTTCTATGCCGGTCAGCTTTCGGTTATTCTAATCAACTTATAAAGAGAAAAGGTTTATTTGGACTCACAGAGGTTTCAGTCTATGATCAGCTGGACCCATTACTTTTTTTGGCCTGCGGTGACACAGCACATCACAGCAGAAGCTTGTGGCAGAGGAAAATTGTTCCCCTATTGGCAGGGACCCAAAAAAGGAATATAAAGAAATTAGGGTCCCACCAGACCCTTTGAGGTCATACCCTGATGACCTAAAGATTTCTCCCACCTCTTACGTGTTCCACCACCTCCCAATAGTGCCAAGCTGAGGACAAATCCTTTTATACCTTTTGGCTTTTGGTAAATATTCCAGATCCAAACTATAGCAGAGACGAAGGGAGGCTGTGGTTCCACCTGCCTCCTGAAGATGGAGGTGATTCTCACCCCAGATAGAACACCTCAGAGGCCAGGCAGATCTATGGGTAAAAGAAATGTACAGGCACTGTCCTTTCCACATGCACCCAAGTTGCCAATGTTCTTCCCAATGTTTCTTTCCAGTGCTTCAGAGGAAAATGATGGCACCCAAATCTTTAATGGCTCTTCCCTTTCCATTTTKGGGGTATAGTTGGACACTGGAGTTGAACACAGGGCCTCATGCATGCTAGGCAAGCACTCSACCACTGAGCTACACCCCCAGCCCTTTTCGTTTCACTTTGAGACAGGGTCTCATTAAGTTACCCAGGTTGGCCTTGAATTTGCAGTCCTCCTGCCTCAGCCTCCCAAGTATCAGGGATCACACGCATGTGCTTCTCTCTCCACTTTTGAGGGGAGGGGTTGAGTTGGCTTAGCGTTCGGCTTCCCCTCAAAGGGGGAAGGACACACAAATCCAACCACTTCCTGTTCTGTTTCCTGATAACTGCATGTTTATATCTTCCACTTTCAAGGCTACCATCCCAAGAGCCTTCCAGATGTTCCCTAAGTACCATTAGCCCCAAGAGACTTCACTGCCAATCAGCAGGAGGCTGAGAAAGAGACAGCAGGCAACAAGCTCCCTCTGGGACCAGCACCGGCCAGCAGCTTTCTTCGTGCTGGGTGGATTCTGGCCTAAAGACAGCACTTTCTGCTAGGCCCATCTGCTCATCTGAGCCTCCAGAGGCTGCCCTGGGACTCAACTTCTGATCTCTCAGGTCAGGGGACTTTCTGTTCTTACCATTCACTCCTGGAAACTTGATCAGAGGCTKCCTGAAACGACTTGTGCATTGTTTAGCTTTTACATTATGGTTTAAATTTTCCCCATGGGATATTTGATCTCAGATCCTTGAGAGCAGAGAAGCCTCTGGCACCAGCTAGTGATCTGGACACCTTTAGACTGCAGCCATGAATCAGAGAATCAGTTGTTCTTTTGTCTATGTTAGAATGGATAATGATAGAACTCCTTTTGTTCYGAGAGCATGCAAACCAACAAAGAGAAGGCCCTATTTAAAAGATGATAGAATCCCCAAAAATATATATTTTTAAGTATTTTGACACTCCTTTAGATATATTATTTAATTTTTTCAAACCTTTGTGTCATTTTGTATAGGTGAGCTCCCCTCGATACCACAGGTAGGGACAGAGGTGTCCTTGGATGGAAAGGTAATGATCTGCAATCGCCACAAGCTGTGATATCAATCAGTTCCATTCTGTCACTGCTAGTGAAAAGTCTTTATGCAAAAACCCTAGAGTTGGGGCTAGGGTTATGGCTCAGCGGTAGAGCGCTCACCTCGAACGTGCAAGGTCCTGGGTTCAATCCTCAGCACCACATAAAAATAGTTATTGTGTTCAACTACAACTACAAAAATAAATATAAAAAAAAGCCCTAGAGTCTTTATTTTGCAAAGTAATAATTTATTTCACTATAATCTCCTATTATTGTCCCTTAGCACCAAAAAAATAGTTCATTTATTTATTCATCATGTTTACTGAAAAATGACCACTCTATTCATAAGCCCTGGACTAGAAGCTGGGAATACAAAGTCATAAAATGAAGTTATTGCTCTCAAGGGATACTCCCTACATAGTGGGGTAACAAATAACTATGTGACATAGTTGGGTTATAATACAAATGCAGAGGTAGAGAGGGACAATTAGAGAGGGCATCCTGGAGCTGAATCTAGCATGTGACTTTAGTCTTGGAAGATGAGTTAGCCAGACCTAAGGTGTAGAACAGGAAAAAAATATTGTGTTTGTTTGTGGCAGAGGTCTGCCAATAGGTTCGTTTATGCCAAGGTAGGAGGTATAAAAGAGACTGGTATGCACTGAGAAAGGAAGACGGTTCTGTTGGTATGGAGTGTTTGCTGGGTATGTGTGTTTSCTTTTGGAGAGGTGATAAAAATTCTGATGGCACATCTCATGTGTATTTTATAGATAGGGAAGCCAGCTGAATATTTTTTTCAATCATGAAAACAAAATTATTAGGGTTGGTATAGGTAAGGTTGTTCTGGTGTGAAGAAAGAATTGGAGGGCCTGTAATCCCAGCAGCTCGGGAGGCTAAGGCAGAAGTATTGCAAATTCAAAGCTGGCCTCAGCAATTTAGCAAGGCCCTAAGCAATTCAGTGAGATCCTGTCTCTAAATAAAATACAAAAAAGGGCTGGTCAGTGGCTCAGTGGTTAAGTGCCTCTGGGTTCAATCCCCAGTACCACAAAAAAAGAAAAGAAAAGAATTGGAGGGATATCAATTGCTGGAAGCCAAGAAAACCGAGGCTTGCTTAGCTGCTTGCCTCCCAGTCTAGACAAGAGCTACAAAAACCCATATTAAGGCAGAGGAGTCTAGAGAAAAACAGGAGAGAGACTGACAGAACTGGAGCCTGGATGGATGTGAGGGTGATATACAGCTTTGAAATGATTCCAAACACTTACAYGGCTTSCTATGCCAGGTCTCTTTTTGGAGTGTATTCCTCTTGTCTTTGAAAGTACAACATCATACCAGAACCCACATGGGAGAACTTGGAGGGAACTCCCTCTTCCCTAGGGAATGTGATATCCAACCTTATCAGACACCATATGTGAGTTACTGTCCTAGTTACTGACCTCAATTACTGGACTTTGAAATACATACACTCAAGAGCTTGACATGCAATGACAAGGCTACAGTCTGCAGGCTGCTTCTCTGAAAACCTAGAGCTCAGGCTGTAATARGGTGATACCCTGTTAACATTGGAGGGAGTTTCCAAAGCCTTACCCACTGCTGTGGTCTGGATGTAAGGTGTCCCCTGAAAGCTCCTGTAACAATTCAGAAATATTCAGAGGAGAAATGATCCGATTTTGAGAMCTGTAACCTAATCAGTCCTAGTTTGAATGGACGCTAACTGTAGGTAGGTGAGGTGTGGCTAGAGGAGGTGGGTCACTGAGGGCATGTCCTGAAAGGTTGCCTCTTTTCCTGGCCCCTTCCTCTTACTGTCTCTGCTTCCTGGCCCTGCATGATTGAAGAAGTGCTGCTCCACCACACTCTGCTGCAATGATGTTCGGCCTCATCTTGGGCCTAGAAATATGGACTCAGCCCACCCTTGAAACCATGAGCCAAAATGAACTTGGCCTATTCTGTGTTGTTCTTGTCCAGTATTTTGGTCATAGTGAGGAAAACCTATCACACCCACCAACACCTGCACCTCCCTCTAGATTGAGAGACCTCACATGTCTTGTACTTCACTTCATTAAACAGCTGCTCCAGATAATTGTATAAAGACACACACCTCAGGAGCTGGACATATAGTTCAGTGGTAGAGTGCTAGGCCTTGGATGCAATCCCCATTACCYTCCTCTGAAAAAGGATTCACCTCAAACTTTAATTAGACTTTTCTTTCCATACAGGCCTGTTCCCATTCTAATTGAGCAATGAGCTCCAACAATTTTGGAGCTCACTCACTGTGGATTAATGTACCTCATCTATGGAAGTTGTTCCTTGGAAGRTTAGTTCACATTATTTCCTTAAGCATTGTAAACTTAAGAAAAATTTTCTTTGGATACAATATACATAATTCATGAAACCATATTTTGATCATCTCCTTATTTCCACCTTATTCAACAGAGGGTCAAGGAGACAAGAAGGGAAGGAAAATTTCAAGTCAACTCCTGGATGGTAAGGCCCACTTACTGATTTAAGGAATTCTAGATTTTTTTTTAATTGCTGTTGTTTTTTCTTTTTAATGGGTAGAAAGACTGCACTTGTATTTGYACCAATAAATAATAATATTCATGATTTGTAACTTTTTAGCATCAGCTCACAATGTACCCCTTCCTGTGAAAATCACAGTGTCAATTTCATRACTGTGGCAAAGTGCCCAAATTAAAGCTATCCTGCAGTTATTCAAATCCCTTTCCTCCTGCACATACTTTCTTTCACCCACAGCAGACTCCCTCTACATAACCCACTCCCTACTGAAAGACACCAATCAGAGTTCAAACTCAAGGCAAGCATTGAGCAGTTCTGGGCTCYGGTGCAAGTATGATTTCTATAAAAAGACATTAGAAAATAAGAAGCAATGTTGCCATTTTGCCTTTAATGGAAAAGTGGCTAGCAGTTACAGTTAAAAAAAAAAAATCTTTTATTTTAAAAAACTACCCAACTTCTAGGCATTCAGTTTGAATTTTTAGTAACACACATACACTTGGAAACCAATAAAGTCTTTATAAAAATAAACTCTGAATGTGTGATTAAAAAGGGAGAGGTCCAGTCTTTRTAGCTGCACAAATGCATAATAAAAAAGGACGTCAGTCTGTCTGAGATGTTTTACCCCAAGGTGGAGGGTGCTTTTACTTTGGAAGACAGAGCCTGCTTGAAACGTCTCTTCAGGTCCTGCATGTTGGGAGAGCGTGGCCGGGGGATGATGGAGGTCCTTCTCCGCTCCCCACTGAGGCTGTGCAGCTTGCTCACTTCTTTGCAAAGATGCTGAAACACATCACAGACGTCTTCGTAGTTTTCACTAGTGGAAATTTCAAGGAATAGGCTGCCCAGCTCATTGGCTAGCTGAATACCATCATGCGTTTGTACCTGCCGGGCATGCAGAAGGTCCCCCTTATTGCCCACTATGATGACAGGGGCTTTAGAATCAGGATGAACCTTCCGGATATGCTGATAAAGGGGCCGGATGGACTGGTAGCTGTCATAGTCTGTGATGGAATAGACAAGAAGAAAGCCCTCGGCCCACTGCACGCACTTGGATAGAGAATCAATGGCCTGGCTGAGGTTGTCTTGGGCCTGARGAAGATCAAAATGAGATCAGTCAAGGAAGCCCTCGATGAGAGGCAAGCTCAACTATGACATCAAAGTAACCCTTGAAGAAACACTGGGAAAAGAAAAACACTAAATATAGTTTTCAGGTTCTACTCAGCTTCTGCTAAAGGAGACTTTTGACAGGGAGAGTGCAAATTCTTAAACTCCCTGCTTGGCTTATTTTATTTGCTGATATCCATGGGATATTTTTAAACCCTCTGCTTGACAGGCAATCTCTGGTGAACCCTGGCTGACTGAAGAATTACTTCAAACCAGAATGGCTCAATTTTTAGGGAACTAATTCATAATAAACAAAACTTTGAAAAGAAGCCAAGATAAATATCTATTCCCAAATCTATGAAAATATTTTTAGCAAGCAACTTCTTGAGAATGTTACAGAAACAAATTCCTCTCTTTGGGTTCTTTCACAGACCTCTCCTCCCTAGAAGGGATTAGCAATTAGTAACTTGTTAGTTAAGTTATATTCTAGAACTGGCCAAGGGGTTATCTGATTGCAATTACTGACTTGGGGGAACAGCCAGTAACAGAAGCACTCCAGGAGAACTTGCTAGCCCGAAAGACCCTCTCCCACCAGAATCCCACCAGTTTTTCTGTTTTATTTTGTTTTATGTGATGCTGGGGATGGAACCCAGGACTTCATACATGCTAAGCACATTCTTTACCACTGAGCTATAGCCTGAGGCTGGGTTTGCTTTTTTAATTGTTTCATGGTTGATCTCTGAAACTGGTAAGACCCATCTAAGTAGTGATAGTCTGCCAGGGCAGCAGAGAAAAGTGTCAGGGAGCTAAGAGGAAGCTACTTCTAACCAACCCCTTGGAGGACTTCCAACACTACAATTCCCAGTCCCACACTTGTAGATGGTTGACTCTTAYATTTAAATGTATACCTTTAGCATGTCACTGGGACCAATAGCACAGCCTCTGACCAGCTATATGCTGGTCTCCCCTCACCCCCACCCTGGCCCTACTTCCATCCCCCACCCCAGAATGTTCTAGCAGGGGCTCTTTGCTCCTGGCAGTCTTTACCTGGATGCCCCCAGGAGTGTCCTGGATCTGCAGAGATAGCTGGTCTCCCTCCACATAGACGAGACGTGAATACAACTTGCCTAGAGAAGGAAAGAGAGTTTGCTTTTAAATTCCCACACTCGGATCAGCAAAAAGAAACATGAACGCACAAAAATATTGATTATAAAATTATTTTAACCTGTATTCGGCTCATAGTCGCCAATGAATCTCTTGGTGAGGAAGCGCACAATCATTGCTGAAAAGGAAATAGGCAAAATCAATTCAAAGAGTAGAAGACAACAGCAACGGGCCTCTGAGCCGCATGCACTCCCTGAAGCCCAAGGTTCTGCAAGACCGAAGGTGCCATAAGTTGGTCTCCCTCAGCTTTTATGAAGGGACATACTGGAGGGACAATTCCATTCTCAAACAGGCGTCCACCCCAGCGAAAGTCTTGGAGTATGCGCCCAGAAGAGGCAGGCGGGCGTAACCGTGCCGGGACTGAAGGGAGACCCTCTTAGCACCAAAACGGCCAGATTCACCCGGTCCCCAGCCCTCCAACCTCCACCAAAGCTCCCTCCCTGGAGGACCTCCAGTTGTCGCTGCACAGGTCTCCGCCACACTCACCGCTCTTTCCTACACGCCCGGCTCCCAACACCGCTAGCTTGATGTCTTTGGGTAGGAGGTAGTCGGAGGAGCACTCAGGAATGGGAGCCAGCAGAAAGTGCCCCGACATGTTGAGCGGCCGCATGGAGCGCGTCGGGCAGTGAAGCGCGCAAGCCGAGCGGTCCCGGCCTCCACCGCACCTGGAATCGGCTCGCGAGCAGAGAGCGCGGGAACACCGGGCGCCAGGACTGTGGCGGAGGCCAGCCTAGCTGTCAAGTTCCGCGGCTTTAAAAGCGCTCGGCTTGCGGGGGAGCGCGGTGGCCGCCTCCAGCTCCTCCTATTCCCCGCCCCTTCCCGTAGCGGCGAGCTGGGGCGCGAGCAGGGTGATCCAAAGGGACCGTCACCGCAGGCGTGCGCACCATTTCGCAGTCTGACGCGCAGTGCTAGGGAACCTGCACCGCTCTGAGCTCGCGAACCCTGGAAATACGGCCACCAGCCATAGAGACCATCTTCCTGGCTTTCAGGCTGTATCTGGCACTTCCGCGGCCCTCTCCGCCCCACAGTGGCCAATTTTGGTCACTAGCTCTGTAGATCAACCTGAGATTAGAGCTAATGGAGGAAAGAAAAAGGGAAAAACGCAATTGGTCGGATACTTCTGCAACAATGGAAGGGATAGAATCCTGTGGAATGTTGCTCTTTTATTTTCAAAAGGTGCTGAGGTGTGACATTCTTTTGGAAAAAGGGACGGAGGAGGCAAGAGCCACCCCGCCCCCCAACCCCTCCAAGTATCACTCGAGATAACTACAGTCACTTACATGTGAAGTCCCCTTGGGGGCAGTCGTTTGCAGCTCAGCATCCAAACCCTGGCAGCCCCTTCCCTGCTGGCGCAGGCTGAATTGACTCATTGGTAAACAATGAGCATTCCACCTGCTGAGAGCTCTGGTTCTGGACTAATTCTCCATCATTAATTCTGTTTATGCACTTGAGTCATGGATTTACTTCATTGTTCAAGTATTTACTTCTAGATACACGGTGGAGTTTAAAGAGGGGGCAGGGGAAAGGGAGGAAGAGGACACAGAAGAGAAAAATGGCCTAGTTCTTGGAATTCAGGAGCCCACCATAGTAAGGCAGGAGCCTAATAAAGACCTCATGCTTTTGATCTGCTGTTTTCCAGACTCTTCTGTCCAACTGCCTATTAGCCGCACCCTATTCATTCCCTTGCTCTATCCTGGCTTTATCAGTTTTTGCTGCTTGACAAACCACACAAAATTTAATAGCACAGGACAACAATCACTGCTTGCTATTGCTCACAAGGCTATAGGGTCAGTGGGTGAGTCATTTAATCTAGGCCAGGCTCTGAAGATCTTGGCTGAGCTCTTTGCTGTAGTAGCAGAGTTCCTGGTCTTGGGAGAGGCAGAGAGCTGGCTACTGTGCTCCTGCATTGCTCAAGTCTGACAACTAACTGGCTAAAGGCAATAATGGGGGAGGAGCAGTGACAAAATCACATGTGTTATATCCAGCAGTTTGGAGGGCTTATTCTCATGTGGCAAGTTCCAAGGAGTGAGTGGAAGTGGACAAGACCTCTTGAAGCCTTGGCTCCAAAGTAAAACAAATCACTTCTGTTGCCTTCTGCCAGCCAAAGTAAGTCATGAGGTCAGCACAAATTCAAGGGGTGAGGAAATGCACTCCACAGCTTTATGGAAGCAGCAGCAAATTTGCATTTGAAATAGGACAGAAAGCAGTAGAGAATGGGATCCATTTTTGGAATTGAACACACTGATGAAGGTGCCTCCATGCACCCAGCAGCCTTAGCAGGCCTGTGGAGCTGTCCTTGACCTCAACCTCTCACATTATGGGTTAATCACCACCTTCTATTATTTCTACTGCCATGTTTCTTGCTGTCTCCTCTTTCCCATCTTTACTGCTCTTCTCATTTTTCAACTGAAGAATTCTGAATAATCATGAAATAGACTATAAATGGTAATTCAGTTTACTTGTTGCAGAGTCTTCTCTGATCACTGCCACCATCCCCACCCCTATCTTGCAATTAGTTACTCACTCTCAGGGCACCCTTGGCAGCATTGATCACAACTGTCATTACTTTCTGGTGGAATGTTTGTTTCATGTCTGTCTGTAGAGGGCAAGAACCCTAGCTTACTTCTATCGCTAGTGCCCAGCATGTAGTAGTACCTGGGACTTTCAAGGACCTCAATAGATGTTTGTTTATTGGCTGACTTTCTGAATGAATAAATGGATGAATGATGGCTTCACTGTAGGAACTAGAAAAAACAGAAGTCATACTTATGATCATCATCCCTTTCATTTGTAAGCAAYCTGCTCTCAGGAGGAAGCATCCCAGGAAACATTTGAGGTAACTGGCCCTATTTAAGTTGTACTGACTTTTGGCTGTTCACAAGGCAATCTTCTTCCATTATACTTCAGTTTAACAGGAAATACCTGAAACAGGGCACCTTCCTCCCTGACAGAGGAAGAGGCACTAAAAAGGAAAAAACTGTTTAGGAAGCCACTGTGAAGCTGTTAGGAGTTGTTGGGTAATTCCATGATGGGGTCTGGCACTGTTTACAAGATGGCTCTGCAGCACTGAGTTTTCACCCAAACCGAAAGGGAAGGATTATCTTGCTTTGTCTCTTTTATTGTGAAATAAAACAGTTCTCACAAGAACTCAATCGATTTTCCCTTACATTTCATGGGCCAGAGCAAAGAAATCAAGAAAGAGATGATCCATGAAGGTTGGGATTGCCATGACTAGCTTAGGTGATCATGGGTACTCCCTGGGGATGGACACAGTGCTGCTCCCATTCAAAATTAAGAAATAGAAGAGAGCATGGCTGCTGGGTAGCGCCTCAGGGGATCTGCCGCAAACCCACTTCACTTTTCTGGGGTGAAAATGCAGAACTTTCAAGGGAAAAAAATGAGTCATTTTTTATTAAATCTTGAGCATATCTGTTTACCTCATTCCYTACTTTACATCCCCTCTCTGGAATAAGATTATTTTAGTTTAAGATCACCCAACAGTGAAGATTCCTAAGACTATCCTTTGCTCAGTGGCAATTATCCTCCATTTCGCACTTACCCTGCACCTTTGCTTAGAAGAACTCAAAATGTTATTCTATCTTCCTTTCATTTACAAATACAGATAATCTGTGACCTTTTAGAGGAGACAATAAGCTACTAAAATGAAGAATTATAAATAGCATTTCTCAAGTGTTGCTGCTTGTGTTCTGCTATTTCATTTTAGATTTCTTTGTGTCCAGAGTTATGTAAAATTGTGGTGCAACCATTATAACACAGGCATGCTGAAGTAGTTTTTAAAAGATAATAGAAATGCGTAGGCAAAGACTCAAATACACAAATCTGTGGGTGTTTAGAATGAGTGTGAAGGTCAGAATTTAGTAATACACAAATAACATCAGACTTGGGAAATTATTAACTCTTTACCAGTCCAACAAGAGCTTGAATTCTAGCCCTTGGGAAAAAGGGTCCTCCTCTAATTCATGAACATCGCACACCCCACCATCCATAACCCAATATCAACTATCTTTACTGTGTATCCTAAATCCATCGATAATGAGTTTCTGGTGCTTCAGACTCTGCTTTTGAGGTACTTTCCCCAGAATAGGAATGATGCTTCTGTCCTCTACTAATTCCCTATATTATTTTAACAATAGTCAAAACTGTTGAAAATCTACTGTCTGCAAGGCTCTAGTACAGAACACAAAGAACAGCTAACTTTATATTATTAAACATACAAAGTACCAGACACTCCTGCCTGCCTTCACAGACATCCCTGTTGTAGTGAAATTAATTATCATTTATAAATTACTGAATTTAGCAATAAAAATTCTCAAATATTATCTCAATTCTTAATATTTAAGTCTTTATCAAACCTGTGTAACAGGTTAAAAAAACCCAAAAACTTCTAAATTAGGGTTCAGACAAGCTACATTTAGTAGTAGAGACCCTAAGCCCTCTGACTGTAAATCTGCCCCTTTCCTCTGGTGTGGAGAGCAGGATGAAGAATACTCTGGACAGGTAAATGCAAGGACAAAGCAGATCAGGTGTAAGCTCCAATAGGACAGCTACAGGGAGATCAAATCTGAGATGAGGGAGATATCAGGGAGTTACAGGGAAAGAACAACTGATCTCCAAGCCTGAGTAGTATTTGATAGATGAAGGCTCAGAGGGAGGATAAAGGCATATGAAGTTGAGTGAAAAGTATGTGCAAAAGGTAAGAAGGTAAATGGCAAGTTTGAGGAAATATGAGTAGCCTCATAGAGGAGAGACATGGTGGGGACCACAAGATTGGGGGCCAGCCTGTGGATCGCAACATGCACCATGCTAAGAAGTTTACCAGGAAGCTCTGAAAAGGTATTGACTGTTCTTCCAAAGGGCGACTTTTCACAGGCAACAGTGTTAGCGCTAGGAGCTACAAAGAACAGATATGGTTTCTCTTCTCAAGGATTTTAAAACAATTTACTTACTCATCTCCCATGAGCAATTAATTTTCTTTTCCTGCTCAGGTGGAGCAAAAGTAAAAATCCAATTGCATCTTGAATTGAGCTATCACCTCATTTTCCAGAGACTAACTAAAGAGTACCCCACTGGATTTATTTTCCAAGCCAAATAATTTCATAAAGCTCTAATCTTGATGGAAAAGTATGTATGAGAGCAATTTCTCTGAGCCCTTTCCATTAATGGCTTATGAGATGGTCTGTCCGGTGCTCCCTCACCACACACTTTTCACTATTTGGAAAGAAACACAATACAGAAGCTCAGTTGTTTATTCATTTCTCTATACATATTTTCCACCTTAGCATAACAGCTGCAGATTCTGCCTATTGTAATGAAAAACTATGAACCTAATAGATTTTTGTGCTGAGTTTTTTGCATGCATAATACAATTTTCTCCCCTTAAGTAGGGCTGGGAATGGAGAAATATGGCATAAACACTCATTGCAAGTAAACCCAGTTTCAAATTATTATTCTTGTGCTCAGAAAAGAATAAGTCCACCTTGTTTGTATTTTAGCAATTCTATCACTAAATTTTAGGAATTGCTTTATAATATTTTAGCATTTTTCTATCCCAATACAGAGAAATTGTTAATGCTATACTAGTGGGAATATGGAAGAGATATGAACCGTTTTTTTTTTTAAGAGAGAGATTGGGGGGAGGGGGGTATTTTTTAATATTCATTTTTTAGTTTTCGGCGGACACAACATCTTTATTTGTATGTGGTGCTGAGGATCAAACCCAGG